CAGATGATGGCTATATGTACAGACACATCTGTGTCTGTACATAAAAATGAAATAATATAAAAAATATTCAAAAAGCTGCCAACAACTTTACCTGTATGTTGAAGCGTCTTGTCACTGTGAAATAGTTTTCAGGAAAGTCCATGGAAATAACCAGTGGTGGTGCTAGAGTGTTCACTAGTCCTCTCACAAAAACCATAACTCCACATGCAACAATGAGTGGCCCAGCTGCACCCCAGGGTGTCGTCCCTGTGTAGTGATCTAACAGATACCAGACACCTCTCCACTGACTGACACACCCAAATGCAAAGAAATAGGTGTACACTCTGGACATCAAAACAAACACAGCCTTTGATTCCCCTTCCACAAGTTTTTGAATAAAGAACTGACAAAAACTAAAAATCAATGGAATGAAAATTCCAATGGCAGCAGATATCCATCCAGTTTTCTCAGTATCATTGGGGAATAGGTACAGATCCAATAAATTCCACGTTCCTCTCCAGTAGCAGACAACTGCTGGACCAATGACAAGTGCACTTAAAAAGCAGTCGGCTACACGAACATGCAACCCAACTTCTACTTTTTCATTCATGATGGCCCTGGTTAGATCTGGTTCACTCAGTTCAGTCTAACTCCAATTTTAGGTATTTCAATAACTTTATTTTTGTGATTAAAATATGCTGATTAGTTTGCCCTGTGCTGAGTAGTCGTTTTCAAAGAGAACTTTTACTCTGCCGAATCTCGACCCTCTGTTGTCTAAGCTTGTTCTATTCTGGTCTCTTGACTGGGAATAGTTATACGAATATCTGAAGTATGGGGGGTGGCAGAGGTTCTGCCTTATTTCTATTGGCTAAGTTACCTGTCATTCAACTGGAACTATACAGATACTTGGCTTTATCTGTGGACAAAAGAATGTGATACCTAATTTTATCTGAAAGGAAGTTGCAGACTCACAGTTATTTAAGTAATTAAGTGAAGACCACTGAAGATGTTTTCCTTTCAAATATTTTAATTATGTTGACTCTGCACAGGTAAATACAAGTAAAACAGGTTAACAATAATCAGCACCCCATTTATCTTGTCTAAGACTGTGTGAGGCATTAATAATTGATAATTACTAATTATTAAAATTTACCTGTGTATACCTGATAATTGAGAAGCTGGTAGATACTTTTGCCTTTATGAAGAAAGATGTAATTAAATGGACCACTGGCAAGAGTACTCAACTTACTTTTTCTTGAAACTTAAAAGAAATTTTAAATTTTCTAACCAAAAACTATATGATGCTCAATAACTGTCAGAACAGTGCTATCCTTTTGTTTTTAGATAATGCAGTGTTATTGTTCTTTTCAAATCCTTCTCTTTTTCAAGTTCTTTACAAAAATGAAAAGTATCATTAAATTATGTTTTGATTTACAGTTTATGGAACCACTGTGAATTACACAACTTCTTTTTGATCCACGTTTAATAAGAAATGTCTGAGGGCACCAATGTGCAACATCATTGCAAAACCATTGTTGAAATCCCAGTCAAACATATTAAAATTAACTTTGGCTCAGCAGCTTGAAACATTTTTATTATTAAAAAAAAGGCAATATAAATAATTCTTGTGCTATGTTTTTATGTTACATTATGTTATATACAGTATATATGTTGGATTTTAGTTTTGCATAATGAAAATCATGTTTTATAAACAGATTAGGCATTTCAGGCCTACCCAGCTACCAGACTCGGTACCGAATGATCCTGAATTCACCGGTAGATCGGACCAAACTATCCGTTTTCAAGGTGTGCATCAGTACACACTTTGAAGTATCAGACGTGACACCGCTATTGCATAGTATGCAATGTGATAGCCATGATTCTGAGTGGGGTTGGAAAGTAGTGCATCTCATCTCAAAATATGTTCCAGAGTATGATACTGTGAAATGCGTTCTGACCTGGCATTTGAGAACACGAGGCTCAGATTTGTGAGCACAAATACCAAAATTAAAGACTGGAGCCACAAATTAAGAACCCTAGCGTAAAATAAGCAGCAATGAGCACAGCATTACCACCCACAGTACGTAAATCCACTTATCTACCTATTCAGTACATTCCCCATAAGCAGGAGATTGTCGAGAGTGCATTGCTGCTGTATTAATAAGCAGTAATGGATAGTAGAATACATGAGTTTGGTTTGTTTTGAGACTTTTTATTTATTTCTTTTTTTTTATTTATCAAAAGATTTAAAGTATAAATACATGAAAAAAGAGAAGGCACTATCCACTTTATTGGGCATTTGCATAGACACCAAAAACCCTTTGTCTTTCATCAAAGACATTGAAAGGGGAGAATAAATCACTATTACAACTAGGAATCTCCAAAATCTCTTACATGTTGTTTCTTGTATCTTCTGCCTTATTGAAAAAAGTCTGGGTTGAAAAAATAACCCACATGTATACTGCAAGAGACCTGGATGAAAGCTGGTCAAATTTTTTGTGTGGTCCGATACTGTGCTTGTGGCTACTCATTTTACATTGTGGCTACAGTCATTAATTTGAGCATTTATTCTCCCAAATCTAAGGCTCATGATAACAAATGGCAATAATGAGAAGACAATACATTGAGTTTTGAATTCTGCCCCAGATCAAGAAATGTAAACTTGCAACAAGTATCAGTTCAGTGAGAAATTTATTGCTATCACACATTTATGGGCATTAAATAATTAACTCAAATGTAAAAATGATTTTATCCAAGCCACCCTCACTAGATAAAATCCTAAACCCTGTAGAAGGCATGCATTGCTGCCTTACAAAAATGTACATTAAAGAGCACACTGTTCACCGTTGTACAAATGGTAAAGATGTTAAAGATGCACCTTTTAAATGTGTCTTGCATTAACAATGCCCATCAATCACCTTAAAGAAATACTAACTGTGCTGATTATGCTAGGATACATTCAAAAGAAGTAATGGATCAGCAATTTTAGCAGCGACCTGCTTGGTCCAGTAAATGAATTGATTTTTTTCATTGAAGTTGGAAAGGTTTTTTAACTGAACTTAGTCAACTGGGCCCAAATAAAGCCCAAATATTTTCCCAGTGAAATCCACCCATGGCAAAGTCTCTTTTCAGGCCCAAATCCAAAATGCCAAACAATGCACCAAGGAGGGTATTCAAAAGAGTACATCATCAAAACTAGGTAACTTAAGAAACTTGTTAGAAGAACAATTTCTACTGAGCAAAGGTTAACAGTTTGGAAGTCATCAAATGTAAACTATTTCCAGTGATTCACATTTTATGTGTTACATTTTAATCACACTAGTAACAGTAAATTATATCCAAATTCAAAGACCGAGTTATTATGGGAAGATATGTTTGGACATGGTATTTTAAGTGGTAAAGGAGAAGTTGGGTATTAACATTGACTGTTTGGGATTAAGTGCTGGTAGCACAATGAATATGCATTATGTGCAGTATTTTATGCCATTTTTCAGTGACAGGTCCCCCCTTTTTCTGAGAATGCACTTTCCCATAGTATAGCAGACTCCCTTTGTCCCAGGTAGTATATAAGCGGGACAATATCTCCTGTTCTACCTGCACTCTCTGTCAAGGGCAGCAGTGACAGCACCTGGACTCACTGGTGATGGCATCAGGGACAGTGATATACTCTTTGCCACCCTCAACAACAGCGGGCTATTCTCAGCGACCCTGGCAGTAGTCTACTCTCAGCAGCCCTCAACACTAGTGGTCACATCTCTGCAGTTCTCTTCACTCAACATTTAAATCTATTTTCGTATTGCTATTTTTTGTAAAATTGAATTTATTGTTTATTATTTATTTATGTATTTTTTTCTCTCATCATTTCAGCATTGCTGCACCACCAATAATATGCACTTAAAAATTAAGCTTTACTAGGACTAAAATTTACATCGGGCCTTTGTAGTTAACCTCCATTTTTTCTCAAAGCAATTTCTCTGCCAAATATAAAACTAAATACCAACAATTCGGATATCAGCATCTTGTGCAGTTTTTTTAGGTTGTAACAACACTCAGTATGTACTGAGAAATAACAGACAGCAAAAAAAAA